CAGGCTCCTGTAATCCCAGCTATTGGGGAGGCTGAAGCAGGAGGGTCACTTGAACCTGGGAGTCAGATGTTGCAGTGAGCTGAGATTGAACCATTGCACTCCAGCCTCGGTGACAAGAGTGAGACTTGGTCTCCGGAAAAAAAAAAAAAAAAAATTTTAGGAGATAGGATGAACATATTAAGGTTCCTTGTTACTGACAGGAACAACTAGGGGGATGGTAGTGCCATTTAAAAGAAAGAAAGCAGGCCGGGCGCGGTGGCTCAAGCCTGTAATCCCAGCACTTTGGGAGGCTGAGGCGGGTGGATCACGAGTCAAGAGATCGAGACCATCCTGGTCAGCACGGTGAAACCCCGTCTCTACTAAAAATACAAAAAATTAGCTGGGCATGGTGGCGCGTGCCTGTAATCCCAGCTACTCAGGAGGCTGAGGCAGGAGAATTGCCTGAACCCAGGAGGCGGAGGTTGCGGTGAGCCGAGATCGCGCCATTGCACTCCAGCCTGGGTAACAAGAGCGAAACTCCGTCCCCCCCCAAAAAAAAAAGAAAGAAAGAAAGCACTGACCAGACGTAGTGGCTCACACCTGTAATCCCAGCACTTTGGGAGCCCATTAAGAGGATCATAGGAGTTTGAGAACAGTCTGGGCAACATACAGAGACAAAAATTTAAAACTTAGCCAGGGATGTTGCTGTGTACCTGTGATCCTAACTTGAAGGCTGAGGTTGGAGGATCACTTCAGCCCAGGAGATCAAGGCTGAAGTGAGCCATGATGGTGCCACTGTACTCTAGCATGAGTGACAAAGCAAGACCCCCTGTCTTCAAAAAAAAAAAAAAAAAAGCATTGCCATAGGTTTTAGCATGACATCAAGCTCCTTCCCTGTACCCCAGATTTAAAATATGTCTCCTCTAGTCCACCCTGAGTATTCGGTACTGGGATGAACCATACCTACATCCATGGCTCTTTGAGCCTAACTTTGAGTTACTAATAATAGTGATAAGAAGATGCCTATTTTCTGACTTCCGTTCTTCCAAAAGACTTTAAAGATTTTTGTTCATCTTTTTCACATCTCTAGGAGAGCAGAAAACATTTTCTCCTTTGTTTAGCTGGAGGCTCCATTGCTTGGATAGGCCCCCCCAAAGGTTTTATTGATTCTTCCCTGGATCACTTAGCTGAGGTATGACCAAGGACAGGAGGTACTGGATGTGAGACTACATTTTCATTACCCGACTGACAGCAAAAAGAGAATTCATAGGCTGTGGACTTCTATTTTCTACCTATCTGTGTACCCAATGAAGCAACTAGAGTTGTGCTGTGGGATGGGGAGATTGTAAGGGCAGCAGCCTGGCCAGGTAGGAGGCTGGGAAGCCCCGTTAGGGGAGCTTTCTTAATTTTCCACCTTGTGTCTTTGCAGCTGTCAGAGGACTCCGGAAACCTGGAGAGCTACCTGCTGTATAAAGGCTGGCCTGAGGGCATTTGCTGAACACAGAGAAACCCAGGAGAGGAGATCAGCAGTTTTCTTTCACTCCACTTCTTGATCTGTCTGATATACCCACAGAAAGCCAGTCAGGATCCCTTAAGAGTCTTTAGGCCCAGAATGGAGTCCTCAGGGCTTCAAGGGACTGTGATGCTAACAGTTAAACTGTTCAAGACTTTAAAGAGTTGAAGGGACTAATGGTATCCCTAGCATGGCCTCCTAGATCAGAATGAACTGGCAACCCCTACTGTGCCATTCCCAGTTGTTTGCTTCCCTTTAGCTTCCCATAGTATTGGCTGAAACACCCTACCACCATTTTCTGTTTTCCCCCACCACACCTGCCTTATGAGTGTCACCCTGGGAGTCCTTGAATACTTCCAGAGGGCTCTCAAGAGAGGGTGATCACTGTCTCCTGCATAAAAGGCTGAGGAAAGCCAAGTGAAAAGATTTAGTTAATTTGGGCAACTTATTTAACATCGGAACCTGTTTTTCTCTTCATTATTACTTACCTTGTCCAAAAAGCTTATAAAGGGTAGAGCTTTTTCTGTTCCACCTCTGTACTATATTTCTCCCCGACAAGTATCTACCCCTGAGGAGCTCAATAAAGGTTTGGTCAAGTGATGAATGGTCCCATTCTGGTAGCTTCTATCAGCTTCGGGAAAGAGCCAAAGTGCCCCTGTCTGGCTCCCACTTTTCTTCCAGCAATACTAGGGCAGCTATTTGTTCAAACATTTTCTCTTGAAGGATTGGAAAGTCAGCCTTTGATAGGCTTCTGGTTTCCTCTGGCCTGTTTCTAGGTTGATACATATTCAGCTTCCTGAGAGACTAGGGACGTCTGATACTATACTATTCCCTAATGCCTTCTGGTTATATATTCTAACAAAGGAACAAGGGGAAGACTGAGTTTAGAGGAAAGAGCCTATCTGCATTTTAACTGTGCCTGGGGCATTCTAGTGAGCTTAGATTCATCCTTAGCAGGAACAGAAGTATAATGGCAAGGGGTTCCTTTAAGTCAGTTGATTTAAAGTGGGCAAACTATTTAATCTCTGAGCCTGTTTCTCTCTTCATTGTTGATTACTATAAATAAGAGCTAATAATTTACTGATTTCTTAGTATGTACCAGGAAAATGAGAAAAACTGAGACTCAAGGAAGGTAAAAAACTTGTTTATGGTTAGAAAAAGATTCCACGGTCTATACGATCAGACTTCATGGTCTGTGCTTTTGAACTCTTTGTATTTCTCACAGCCACAAGTGCTCTGAAATATTAAAGTATTACGTTTGGATGAGGGGTTCATCTAGGATGACAGATCATCTAGGTTTACCCAAGAGAGTTTCTGGGATATGGGACTTCAAGTGCTAAAACTAGTAAAGTGAATGGCCAGCCTCAATGAGTTTGTCACCCTGTGTTTACGTGGATGCTCTGAGTCCAGGACTGACAAGGGAGGAGTTTGGGGTAGGGAATTAGGGAATCAGATTGCATCCTCCTCATACACAAATGGAGGCACAGAACCTGAGTCACTGTTAGGTTCCTAGACAGCTACCCTCAGTCCACTAGGATTTCTACTTGGGAGCCACGGAATTTTATAGGAAAGCTTACAGGGCTGAAGCCAAATAGGTATGAATTCAAATCCCAGCTCATCAGTTGTATATTTCCAGAGCCTGTTTTAAGTTTTTTTTCTTTTTGCTTTAAGAAGAGCTGTAGGGCCTGTTTACTCCATCTAAGTAAGATAAGAATTGCTACCCACCGAATGGGATCCGAGTAGCAAATGATGTGTTTGAAATGCCTGGCACGGGGTCTAGACAGCAATACTGCTCAACCATTAAGTTTCCCTCCTTTTTTCCCAGGCTTGTGGGTCTTATCCAGTCCTGTCACCTGTCACAGCCTTCATCCTCCTCCTAACACTTAGAGCCCTTGGGCTCTTCCTTTGAGAGACCTGATCTAGTGGGCTTGGCCCACCCACCCAGCTGCCCTGTATGTCCATCACCTCCCCTGAAAGCTGAGAAGGGATGACATCAGCCTTTCCCTCTTCCCCCCTCCCAAGCCTCCAGGCTGTTTTGAGCCATAAATATTTTAGCTGGGCCTTTCTCTGGCTGTTGCCAAGGTGATGGGCTCTCAGGGGACTGGGGTGGGAGTGTGGAGGTGGGGCTGGCAGCCTGGGGCCTGGCAGCAGAGCTGGCCCTGGAGGAGCGGGTATGAGGCCTGGCCAAGAGCCAGTGCTTGCAGCTCTGACAAGCAGGCTGTTGCTCTGCCTACCTGCCTTCCCTTTCTCGGCCCCTTAGAGCCACTCCTGTTGCTTACAGGCCCACTTTTGCCCTTGGCTGCTGCTGTTCAACCTTAGGTAAATTGTTCAGTGTCCCTAGGCTTTCATTTTAACACCCGTAACAGAAATCCAAGAAAGCAAAGGAGGTTTTGTAAAAATACTGAGATGCAAGGCTGCTGAATCATGATTGGAGAAGCTAGGTCCCACTGCCCTTTCTGATAGGCTTAGGCTTAGGAGGCCTTGATGCCATGTGGATGTCACCCTAAAGATAACTCTCAGATATGCCATTCTCTCCCCTTCCTCCTTCCCCACAATGCAGCCCCTGTTCTTTTTTCCAAAGTTCCCAGGTCTAGCTAGATGACCTGGCCTGGCATGGGGTAGCCCAGGAGTTGGGCCTGGTGGCTATAAGCAGAGTTAAGTCTTTTTCGCTTGAGATATAGAAATTCAGGCCCCCAAACTAGATCTGGCCCTCATCCTTACCCACCTCACCTCCTTCCTGGAGACCTTAACATCTGGCTATCTGCTAAATTCGGTCATGGCAGCATGCCCCACCCATTCTCTTTGGGGTGGGTCTAAGGCGGCCCATAGAGGGCGCACTGGGATCCATTCCCTACCCTACCATTGAGAATCGCTGCAATTGTATCCAGGATTCCACATCTGTCCAGCCATGCCCAGCTTAATTTCCCTGTTGTACTTGGAGTTCAGATTCCTTTGTATCAGGCTCTCTCTGGTGGTTAAGATGTGCATTGCAGAAAAATAGGATAAATGAGAGACTGAATTTCAGGTCACCCTGAGAGGTGGGGATAGTTTACACCAAGGAAAAGAATCTGTGTCTCCAACTCCTAATAACATCCACTCCATTTGTCACATAGGATCTCTCTCCCATGTGTTTGCTTCTCTCCGTTAATCCTCACAACATAGTAATTTTCCTAATTTTACAGATGAAACAAGCTTAGAGAGTTGTCAAGTCCAAATTCTTTACTGTGTGTAACATTCAGGATCATCAAGTGATCTGAATTGAGCCTATTTTTCCAACCTCCTCTTCAGTTGCTCTCAAGCCAAACTGGACTCACCCTTCTGGAACATAGCCTACTTCTTGACAGTCCCTCTATCTTAATTACCTTAAATACATTACCTGTCAAAATCCTTTTAAACTAAAGATATACGGTACTTTCTGAGTTTTCTATAGTTTGCATGCATTTGTAATAAAGATATACGGTACTTTCTGAGTTTTCTATAGTTTGCATGCATTTGTAATAAAGATAAGATGTGGGAAGACAAATGTCTGGATGAGGATGGGGGTGAGGCCATTACCATGAGAGGTGGGAGGGTGTGTGTGGGGAGACTAATGTATACATGGAGTGAGAATGGCCCAGAAAACTTGAAGAACATGAAGACACCTGGATTCTCTGGTACTGAAAATCAGACGTAAGTAATTCTTGCTGACAAGAGGTGAAAGCAAATCCCTGGTGGGCTGGGACAGGGCTGTAGGTGACTTCAAAATTCACATTAGTTTGTTGTTGAGACGGAGTTTTGCCCTCATTGCCCAGGCTGGAGTGCAATGGCACCATCTCAGTTCACCACAACCTCCGCCGCCCGGGTTCAAGTGGTTCTCCTGCCTCAGCCTCCTGAGTAGCTGCGATTAGACATGCGCCACCACGCCTGGCTAATTTTGTATTTTTAGTAGAGATGGGGGTTTCTCCATGTTGGTCAGGCGGGTCTCGAACCTCCAACCTCAAGTGATCCACCCGCCTCAGCCTCCCAAAGTGCTGGGACTATAGGCATGAGCCGCTGTACCCGGCTTGTTTTTTTGTTTTTGTCACAGGGTCTCGCTCTGTTGCCCAGGCTGGAGTGCAGTGGTGCAACCTCAGCTCATTGCAACCTCCACTTCCTAGATTCACGTGATTCTCCTGCCTCAGCCTCCTGAGTAGCTAGGATTACAGGTGTACAACACCATACCTAGCTAATTTTTGTATTTTTAGTAGAGGTGGGGTTTCACCATGTTGGTCAGGCTGGTCTGGAACTCCTGGCCTCAAGCGATTTGTCTGCCTTGGCCTCCCAAAGTGCTGGGATTACAGACGTGAGCCACCATGCCCGGCCCACATTAGTTTACTTTGTACTTCACAATATAGCCATGTTTTATCTTTCTTTTTTTCTATATATATATATATTTTTTTCATGTTTTAATGATAATAGCTAATGCTTCAACAGCACTGAATATATTCCAGGTACAAGTCTAAATACTTTACATAGACTTTCAAACCCATAAGGCTTTACACAGAGGAAAGTGAAACCCAAAGAGATTAAGTAACTTGCTAATATCATGCAGCCAGTAGGTGATGGAGCTAGGAAGTCTGGCTCCAGAGAAGGTGTTCTTAATGACTGCGTTTTAATATTTAAAATTCTGCCTTATATTTCCGTTGAATAAAACTGACATTCCAGAAAGCTGCATTGTGTTTTATCCTGCAGTTTCATCACTTCTGTGTACCACCAGAGGTCTGCACAGTGTGGGTTGAAAACTGCTGATTTAAGGCTGGGCACAGTGGCTGACACGTGTAATCCCAGCATTTGTAATCCTCAACTTTGGGAGTTCAAGGCGGGTGGATGACTTAAGGTTCAGGAGTTTGAGACCAGCCTAGCCAACATGGCAAAATCCCAGCTCTAGTAAAAATACGGAAATTAGCCAGGTGTGGTGGCAGGCACCTACAATTCCAGCTACTTAAGAGGCTAAGGCAGGAGAATCGCTTGAACCCGGGGGGCAGAGATTGCAGTGAGCCGACATCGTGCCACTGCACTCCAGCCTGGGCTACCAGCAAAAGTCCGTCTCAAAAAAAAAAAAAAAAAAAAAAAAAGAAATTGCTGATTCATAGGACAGATTTGGGCCAGGTGTGATGGCTCAATTTTATAAATCCAGTGATTTGGGAAGCCCAGGCAAGAGGATCATTTGAGCCCAGGAGTTAAAGACTAGCCTGGGTAATGTAGTGAGGCCCTGTCTCTACAAAAGTAAACAAAAAACACTTTTTTTCTTTTTTCTGAGATGGAGTCTTGCACTGTCACCCAGGCCGGAGTGCAATGGTGCAGTCTCAGCTCACTGAAACCTCTGCCTCGCGGGTTCATGCAATTCTCCTGCCTCAGCCCCCTGAGTAGCTGGAATTACAGGTGCACACTCACCAGGCTTGGGTCATTTTTTTTTTTTTTTAAAGAAGGAAAGAAAAAAGAATAATAGAAAAAAAGAAGGAGAGGAAGGAAGAGGGAGAGAGAACAGAAGCGTTGCTTTATTGCCCGGGGTAGAATGCAGTCTAAAAATGGGTATTAAAAACCTCTTTTATGCTTAATAATGGAAACAAGAAAAAAAATAAGAAATTTTTAAAAATGAGGGAAGGAAATAACTAACAAGCAGCCAACCAATATTTCATTTAAACCTGTGAGTAGATGTGATGTGGTACTGATAAGAGTGTGTATTTTGTGTATTTAAAGTGGAGCATTCTATAAATGTTTATTAAGTTTACTTGTTCCGGATCTGAGTTCAAGTCCTGGATATCCTTGTTAATTTTCTGTCTCGTTAATCTGTCTAATATTAATGTTGAAGTCTCCCATTATTATTGTGTGGGAGTCTAAGTCTTTTTATAAGTCATTAAGAGCTTATCTTATGTATCTGGGTGCTCCTATATTAGGTGCATATATATTTATGATCATTGAGTCCTGTTGTTACTTTGATCCTTTTACCATTATGTAATGTCCTTCTTTCTTTTAGTCTTTGTTACTATTAAAGTCTATTTTGTCAGAGACGAAAGTTACAACTCCTGTTTTTTTGTTTTGTTTTGTTTTGTTTTTGCTCTCCATTTGATTGATGAGTCTTCCTCCAACCTTTCCTTTAGAATCTTTGTGTGTCCTTGCTTATGAGATGCATCTGGACAGACACAGCATGCCGATGGGTTTTGACTTTTTATTCAACTTGCGTGTCTGTGTCTTTGATTGGGGCATTTAATCCATTTAAATTTAGGATTAATATTGACATTTTTGAGTTTAATATTGTCATTTAATGCTAGCTGGCAATTTTGCCCTTCAGTTGATATAGATTCTTCATTATAAAGATACTCTTTATCTTTTGGTAAGTTTTTGGGATGACTGATACTGGTTGTTCCTTTCTGTGTGTAGTGCTTCTTTCAGAAGCTCTTGTAAAGCAGGCCTAGTGGTAATGAAATCTCTGAGTGCTTGCTCGTTCACGAAAAATTTTATTTTTCCTTTATTTATGAAACTTAGTTTGGCTGGATATGAGATTCTGGGTTGAAAATTCTTTTCTCTGAGGATATTGAATATTAACCCCCACTCTCTTCTAGCTTGTAGGGTCTCTGCTGAGAGATCTGCTGAGTCTGACAGGTTTCCCTTTATGGGTAACCTGACCTTTCTCTCTAGCTGCCCTTAGAATTTTCTCCTTTATTTCAACCCTGGTGAATCCAACGATTATGTGTCTTGGGGTTGCTCTTCTTGAGGAATATCTTTGTGGTGTTCTCTGTATTGCCTGGAGTTGAGTATTGTCCTGCCTTACTAGATTAGGAAAGTTTTCCTGAATAATATCTTGAAAAATATTTTCCAGCTTGGATTCATTCTCTTCACAACATTCAGGTACACCTATCAAACGTAAATTAGGTCTTTTCACATAGTCCCATATTTCCTGTACACTTTGCTCATTCCTTTTTACTTTTTCTTCTCTAATCTTGCCTTCTCGTTTCATTTCTTTAAGTTGGCCTTCAACCTCTGATATCCTTTCTTCTGCTTGATCAATTTGAGTGTTAAAACCTGTGCATACTTCTCGAAGTTCTCTTATTGTATTCTTCAGTTCCATTAATTCACTTATATTCCTCTCTAAATTGTCCATTCTCTTTAGGATTTCGTCAAACCTTTTTTCAGGGTTCTTAGTTTCCTTACATTGAGCTAGAACATGTTCCTTTAATTCACAGAAGTTTCTTATTATCCAATTTCTGAAGCCTAATTCTGTTATTGGAATGCACTCATTCTCCATCAGGCCTTGTTCCCTTGTTGAGGAGGAACTGTGATGCCCTGTGGAGGGAGAAGCATTCTGATTTTGAGTATTCTCAGCCTTTTTACGCTGTTTTCTTCCCGTCATTGTAAATTTATCCACCTGTCGTCGTAATTACCGACTTTCAAATTAGGTCTCTGAGTGGACGTCCAACTTGTTGATTCCCAGTGCCAAAATCCGAGCAACCCATTGCGCTAGCCAAAACTGCAGTGCCAAGACTCCTGGTGCTTTTCTGCCTGGGAATCTCCGGTCTGGCTTCCCTCCTGGGTCCCCCCCTCAATCAGCTGAATGGGCGACTCTGCCTTCCCGGAGCTCCAAACATCGACCAAAAGGGGAACCAGTCCCGTTCACTCCGCACCAAGAACCGCCGCGCCGGCCACAAGAGTCGCACCAGCGACCCGTGGGGCTCCTCTGCTGGGAATCTCTTGGTCTGTCAGCAAAAAAAATTCGTCTGAAAGTGTGGCGTCCTCTTGTTCTCTGTGCTTTCACTGGGAGCTACAATCCCGAGCTGCCAGTAATTGGCCATCTTGGATCTCTCTCCCCTTTTTTTTTTTTTTTAGTAGAGATGGGGTTTCACTATGTTGGCCAGGCTGGTCTCGAACTCATGATCCGCCCACCTAGGCCTCTCAAAGTGCTAGGATTACAGGTGTGAGCCACTGCACTGGTAATTTTTTTTTTTTTTTTTTAGCCAGGCATGGTAGTGTGTACCTGTCTATAGTCCTAGCTACTCAGGAGGCTTAGGTAGGAGGATAACTTGAGCCCAAGAGTTGGAGGCTGAAGTGTGCAATGATTGCACCACTGCACTCCAGCCTGGGTGACAGAGTGGGGCTGTCTCTCTAAAAAACAGGACGGATTTGCCAACTTTTGGCCATGGTCCCAGAATAACATGACCAAAGAGGAGATCTCAGGTCCCAGCACCCAGTGTCAGGATTGGCTTAGAGCCAGTGGCATTTCCTCAAAAACCTAAGACTCCTAGAAGGGCCAATAGATAGCAAGTTTATCAGGAAATGAAGGCTCAGAGAGGAGAAGTCAGGGTTTCAAAGTTACAAAATAGCTGAGACGTGTGGCCACAGGTCTGGAAGACAGCCTAGCCAAAATCCTACCATCTTATTATTTTCTCCAGGCATTGGGAATGATTGTATGTGGAATATAAAAATATTTTTTACAAAATAAAAGATAAGTATTTTCTCCAGGGAACCTGTAGGAGGCAGATTTGAAAAGGACAAAAACCCTAGGTGTTTCAGGTAGAGTCTAGAATAGAATTGTAGATTCTAGATTATGTAAGTTGCAGTTGTCAAACACCAGCCACAAATTGGCTTTCTGCAACAGAAAAATTCATAAAACCTTCAGGTACGTTTGGATCCAGTATTCAACTGATGCCATCAACAAAGCCTTGGCTGGGCATGGTCACTCACACCTGTAATTCAGCATTTTGGGAGGCCAAGGCAGAAGGATGACTTGAGCCTGAGTTCCAAAATCAGCCTGGGCAACGTAGACCCTATCTCTACAAATAAAAAAAATTTTTTTTTAATTAGCTGGGTGTGGGCTGGGCACGGTGGCTCACGCCTGTGATCCCAGCAGTTTGGGAGGCTGAGGTGGGCAGATCACCAGAGGTCGGGAGTTTGAGACCAGCCTGACCAACATGGAGAAACACTGTCTCTACTAAAAATACAAAATTAGCCGGGCACGGTGGGGCATGCCTGTAATCGCAGCTACTCAGGAGGCTGAGGCAAAAGAATCACTTGAAGGCCGGGCGCAGTGGCTCACGCCTGTAATCCCAGCACTTTGGGAGGCCGAGGCGGGTGGATCATGAGGTCAAGAGATCGAGACCATCCTGGTCAACATGGT